TGCGTCTCCTCCGCCGGCTTCAAGAGCTTCTCCTGGGATCAATCTGGGACTTGTGGCGTCCCTGAGATCCACAGGACGCGTCCTTTGTGATCGCCATCTCTACGGGACGGCTTAGGTCCATCGGGACCATCGGGGGGGGGGAGATATTGGCTGTGATCCTGGGAGCCCAGGATCGCCCGCCGTATCGCTGTGACGCCAGCTCCACCCTCCCCTAGGCCAACAAATTCTTGAGCTTCATTAACCATTATGTTCTGATCTACAGGAAGTAGTAGTTCCACTGTATCCATGCTGATTAGGTTACATTTGGATTACTGTGCTAAGTCTCGAGCATCACAATTTATCAGGTTCAGGGAAAACTGGAGTAGGTTCAGAGGATCTAGAAATGAAACCTTATGAGGAGTATGTAGATATCATCTCAGTGAGACTGAATATGTTTTATCTGTCCCAGAATGTTTAGATCAGGTATTCTAGATAAAGTCCATGTTTTATTTATGTTCATCAGCATACATAAAAACCATCTTAATGTAAGAATCCTAAAATCTGCATTATAAAGCCACAAAGGTATAAAACACATTTTGCAATGCAGAGCTATTGCCGTTGTCAGTCCTACTCTCCCAACAGCTATAAGAGAAAAGGAGGGGCCTAAGTGTGAATGACAGGAGAAGGAGCAAAAAGACCCACAGAGTTCTTTTTCCACCCCTTTTTTTCTTAGCAGCCTCATTCTATTATTCTTATTGGAAAAGCTGAAAGTAGATCTAATGGAAGGAGAAATAGCAAGCACGTGCATGGCATTTCTCCCAGATTATCCCTTCTAGCCCCAGACCTATTCTGTTATGTTTAGATGAATGTATACATTTGTACCTGTTTTACTTCTAACTTGCTTCTGTAACCAGAAAGTTAATTTTTCCTGGGAGAAAAAATCAAAGAAAATTAAATATTGGTGATCTCTTTGAAACTGAAGACAACATTTAAAAAAAAAAAATTGCCTCTGACAAATGATCTTTTCACTGGAATGGGCAGACTAAAGTTTTTGACCCTGTTGGTGATGAGTGGGGGGTAAAAGCATAAAGGGACAAAACAAGTGCTTGTCCATAAATCTCTCCATGGGAAAGATCAGCCCAATTTTGGGGGATTTTTTTTTTAAGGAAAATGCAAATATGAAAAGTCATCTTCCTAACTTCCAAAAAACTGGGCAACACTTTAGGACCCACTTATCCTAAGAGGTAAAAATTGGTGCTGGAGAATGTATTAAGCTTCTGGGTGGTTCATCCTTTCTTAAGGTAAAAGATTTAAAATTATTTATTACCACTCTTTCCTAGGAAAATTGATCATCCTCCTGGCTCTTCTGTATAGTTGCTGGTGAAGCCATGACATTGAACATGTAGAAAAACTATCAAGATTTTATTTGATTGAACTGGGAATCTGCTTGTGCTAAATTATTTATTTCATTTCATTGCTAAACATAAAATACAAACTCCTAAAACCATTTCTTTGTTGGTTTGTTTATTGCATTTATATCCCATATTTTTCTCTGAAAGTAGCTTATATGGGATCACCCCTATTTTATCCCCACAATAGCAGCCCTGTTAAGAAAGTTGGGCTGAGAATGACAGAGCCAGGGTTACTTAATGAGCTCCATATCATACTGGCTGGGGAATTCTGGGAGTTGAAGTCCACCCATCTTAAAGTTGCTAAGGTTGAGAAACACTGTCTTAATCACTGTACTGTACTAATAAAACATCAGCAGAATAAAAGAAGAAGTAATGACTGACACCTTAACTTTCAGGTAAACTGCATAACAACTTGATGCTTCTTGACAGTGTATAGTTCATGCTAACCATTAGATCAATCATGATTTTAAGAACTGTGCTTGCAAGAAATACAAATTGAAATGACCTTACAAATTTAGTAATTATGCTTTCCATACTGTATTTAAGTATTCAGTTAACAGTAGTCAAAATACCATAGTCACTTCAAGAGTGGATAATTTCCATATCAATTAACTACAGCAAGTTTGGGTATTAAAATTCTCTCCCTCTCTCAGATGCTCAAGCTATTTTACAAACCAAGCTAATCATAAAGCAACCAAAAAATTAAAACTAAGGTCCCAAAAGTAAAACAGAAAGTCCCCATCCTGTATTTTTACCAGCTCAAAATTGGATTAGAGTCTGGTCCACCATAACATAGGTGGACAGCACATAAAGATTAACAGTTCAGTCAATTGAGTTCCCCCAGAATACAAATAGACTAAACTAAATAGAAAAATTCGACAATACATTAAATAGAAAAAAATTAAGTGCTTGATTTCTTAAACCATACTTGCTTGTTGTGAATTTGAGTTTGGAAAAAGTACTGCTGTAAAACTGTCTTTTCTTTCTTTTTGCATCTGTTTAGCCTGGTTTTCTTCCAGCAAGCTACCCTACTGTATTGTAAAGTTACCCTGTTTCAGCAAGGAAGTTTCAACAAGATAGGCAGCCCATTTCTCTTTCCTTGGAAAGAGGTATCTGCTTGTATCAGAACATTCCGGACATATTCAATCCTTTGGTGGAGCTTTGTAAGCCTACTCTATATTAAAATGCTTAGTGTATTAAGCCAGAGAAAGGAAACCCTCTAGACCAGTGTTGTCCAGACTTGGGCACTTTAAGATGAGTGGACTTCAACTCCCAGAAT